GTAGGAGGAGGGTCTAGGCTTAGACTTTGGCAGTAAAGGCCCCCCACGACGACCGAGGCGCCGTGTTCCAGGGCTTCCCGGCTCGTGTCCGTGAAGGAGGCCTGGTTTGGGGAGTTTAGGGCTTGACTGTTCTTAGGGTTTAGGGTTTAGGGTTTAGGGGTTTAGGGTTTAGGGGTTTAGGGTTTTGTTTTGTAAGGCTTCAAGGTAGCACAAGGGGTCTCAAGATTTCGCAGAGGTTCTTGTCGTCCAGGTTCTTACTCCTTTCCCTCCCCAGATGGATTCTACTAGAATCCTCTGGAGAGGTTGGGGGTCTGGGCTTAGGTGTGGGCTGCTGTACTCAGAGTCTGAGGTAATGCTTGTATTAAGTTCAGTTATTGGTCAGTGCAGATGTCCGCTATCAGGCTTGCTTGGTGCTTTTGAATTCTTGGGTCGAGCAGTGAAAACCAAGCCTCGGGCGGTGATAAAGGGTAGCTCTGCACAAGAAGTGCCAAAGTGGGCCGTCGAAAATCCTTCAGCCCCCTGAGAAAAGTCGATTTAAGCAGTACAGTATTGTTGCCGTAAAGTTTTCATATGACTACAGGTGCTTTACATCAAACCCTTTTTCAATCACATAGGCCTTTGCGCGAACGTCTCTGCGCAGGCTTTCGACAAGGCTGTCTATTTCGGCGGGCTTCCCGAGCCAAAGTCCCTTGGCCCAGATGGCCTTGCCTCCCAAAGAGGAGAGGGTAAAGACTCTCGTAATGGCTGGCCTTAACAAAGGTCTCCTAGGAAGGGTATTTGCCAACGATGCGGGCCCCTACAGTACTGTCCCTGATTTCTTGGAGTCCTGATAGATAGGTGTTGTGAGGTGACCCATGTTTGAAGGTGGGCAGACATGCCATGGCGCGTGCCAGTGCCACCACGTGCTGGAGAGGATCTTCCTTGGCACCGGCCTTGTTGAGACATTTGTCCTGCGGACCACACATTGTGCCGAAACAGATGCATCTCTTCATGCATGCAAAATGTCTCTCTCACAGAGGCCATTCCCGTCCACGCTGAAGCTCTCGCCGTCTACACCGCCTGAGGTCATGTTGCGCTCGGGCTCCATCCATGTGGAAAGAGTAATCGGATATAATCGGATAAATGGTGTTTTGGTCCAGCTGCTTATCTACTGTACCTAGAAATGGTCAATTCCATGACCTTTTTTTTGTGGAGCCCTCTTTGTTTGTGTCGTATTTCAAGCAACACACATGCAATCAACATGCCAGGTGTTCAACGCCCTGTCAGCTCAAGCACTACTGCAAGAAGGGCTCGCAGTACAGGCTTGTGGTTGAGCGCCCGACTGCAGATTCCTCAAAACTTGAGAGTCCATTCTTAAACTGGGTTGCTGTTAAGG